CTCAGCTCTGAGGACTGTCCAGGGTGTGGAGTCGCTCCTCAGGCTACTCAGCATGGATTTATTTATTTTCTATTCGTTCCGAAGACCAGCGTATGATGAACCCACGTGCCCTCCATAACCAACAAAATCCCACGGGAGGTCTAGAAACTTGCGTTTAGCTTTAGCAGAAGCCGCCATCACTGCAGCTCTGTGGCGGTCTCGCTTTTTCGCCTGCTGCCCCTACCTCATTTGTCCCCCAGAGCCGTCCAGGCAGATAAGGAAACCGAGGCGGGAATATATGAGCAGTGACCCACTGTATCCCCCACCTGTCCCCTCACCCTCACTCTGGCCCCTGAGACCACCTCCCACATAAACTACAGAACCCCAGCACTCGACTCGGGGTCTGCTTTTGGGAGAACCCAAACAAACGTAGTGAGTGCGTGGCCTCTGACCACTCAGCGGGTGGGTGGCCGAGCCGGCCGAGGCACCCTTTTAGCTTGTGGCCGCCTCGACATGACCTTGTGCATGCGCCAGCCCCAAGAGGTTGTGAGGTGCAGGCTCTGCTCACCCTGTGTGAGGAAGCCACCCCGCAGGTTCGCCATAGCCTTCCGTGAGCTGCCTGGCCCCTCACGGCCAGCCCACTTTGGTTCCTCGGAACCAGGAGGCCTCCCGAGGGGCGAGTGCCCGGCGTGCATGGCGTCTTCATGTGTCACTCGCAGCAGATGTCCCCTTCTGGAATGTCAGCGGCCTGAGGGCAGGGCCTGTGTGCTGTGTTCACACTGCCTCGGCCCCTGGTGGGCATTCAGTGTTTGTTGAATGACTGCGGGACCGAGTGGCCGAAGTGGTTCTCTCTGAAACACGTGCCTGCTCGCAACGTGACGGTGAGTGACTGGCTCTGCGTTTGCTTCCCCCTCAGCTGCTGAACTCCTTGTCCGTGGACCCTGACGCCGAATGCAAGTATGGCCTGTACTTCAGGGACGGGAAGCGCAAGGTGGACTATGTCCTGGTGTACCATCACAAGAGGCCCTCGGGCAGCAGGACTCTGGCCAAGAGGGCCCCGCACAACGACACCGCGCTGGCCGCCCGCAGCGTCAAGCAGGACCAGCCGCTGCCCGGCAAGGGGGGCCCAGTGGGAGTGGGTGAGCCGCAGCCCCCCGCAGACTTCCACGAGGATGACAAGCGATTCCGCAGGGAGGAGTATGAGGGGAACCTCCTGGAGGCCGGCCTGGAGCTGGAGCGCGATGAGGACGTGAGTACCCCGCTTCTCGTGGGCGCGGCGGGGTGGCTGGTGGGGTGGCTGGCGGGGCCTGTGGTTTGGGGACTGTCCTCGCTCTAACCTGTTCTTAGAGACAGCGATTGAGGTTGGGTACAAATTGCCCCGGACGGCTTTGGCGGGCCCCAGGCCAGCCCCCTCCAGGCCACGTGTGCTCCGGGGCAGGGGTTGACCTAGCGATGACGACCTTTGGGGTCAAGGCATTTCCGGCTCTGGTCAGTTCCTTCCCTGGTCAGAGGGGCGGAGGATGGAGGTCTCCCGGGAGCCTTCCCAGCAGTCGGCCTCGGCCCTTCTTGGGGCCTCAGTTTCTCCATCTGTCAAAAGAGGAGGTGGGTCTGACCGATCGCTGGGGGCCTCGTGCTCTGAAACCCTGCTACGGTAACACTTTTCTGGACCCCCACCCCTGGCAAAGTCTGAGAACCTTTCTAAGGGAAGGATTTGGGGAAGAGCAGAAAGCCGACACCCTGGCGAGCAGGGCTGCCCTGGTGACGGGGAGAAGGACCTCAGCAGCCCTTGGTTTGCTGGTGCTCCCCTGCCAACCCATGAACGTCTCTGTGCACGGGGGCCCTGCCTTTCGTGAACATTGGGGGACAGGCCCCTAGCCCACAGAGCTGTCACTGTGCATGTTAACTGAGAATCAGCAAACGTCTCTACAACACCCTAAGAGCAGAACAAGTGGTCAGCAGGCTGACCGAGGAGGCCAGCAGCCACCCGTGAGTGTTTAAAGTAAAACCTGGTATTGATTTGCCATTTCATTGATGAGACCCACTGCGTCCTTACATAATGAATGCTTTGGGTCCGGGGATAAGAATGCCTTTGGGGGTCAATTAGGAAGCCCGGGGTGTGAAGCCTGTTTCGTGACAAGTCCGTAGGACTTCCCCTGAAAGCAATAAAGATGCACAGCTGGCCCTCTTTCTATGTTGAGCTCGTGGTCGAGGGACCATGTGTTCAACACGGAGCACCTCTCTCGGTCTCGTTCACCTTTGGAGGTTGGGCTGCCTGCCTGGCAGGTTGGTGACTTCTGCTGCAGGGATGTTGGCATTTCGAGGGTGTGTGTGTGAGGAGCCTTAAAACATGTTGACAGCCTGGAAGCAACGATTTGGTCCTGACAAAGTTACAGAGAGACCCTGTGGCCGACTTCGGGCAGCAGCTACAGGCAGGTGTGTGTTGGCACTTCTGGGTTTTGTGGCTTGAGCTGGGGCCCCTCAGAGGAGAGCAGGTGATTCTTGCTGACCTTTTGCGTTACTGCGTCTGGCCAGCCCTACGGCTTTTCCGTGGGAACAATGCTGTTACTATGCAGGCCTGCCTTCAACATGTCATCCTGTAACTGGAGGAACAGACGGGCTCCATCGGAGGCAGCAGAGGCCTCTCACAGGAGCCGGGGCGTTCAGAGCTGTGATCTTGGGCTCCGTGTGATGTGTGCTTTGTCTGTTGACCAGGGGATTTACTGCCTGTCGCTGTCGTCTTTTCCTGACTACAATTACGCAGCCTCACGCTTGAAAGGACCTCCGAGGCCTGGTCCTTCACACGGACCTTGGCCCTATCCCAGACCCCCTGACTGTCCTTTGCAAGATGTATTGAGCTGCTCAGGCCTCAGTTTCCCTGTGTGTCACGTGGAAATAACAGTAGTGTGTTTCCATCACTGGGTCGTTAGGAATAAAGTACAAAGCACTTAACTCGGAGTCGGGCATGCAGCAAATTCTTACTGAGTGATGTTAATGTTATAGCAGCTATTACTACTCGTACAAGCGTGGGGCTAGCAATGAGAAGGGAGCCGTATCTTTTCAAACGCTTTACATTTTCCATCATGACGTTGAAATAACAAGCAAACATAAAGACTTTTGTTACTGTCCCCAAGAAAAGATCTAGTATTCCCCACAAGTGACCCAAAACATCACTGATAATTTGGGTCTGTAGCCAACAGAGGCTTTTTGGCCGTGGATTGGGCCATTTTTAAATAAGAACGTGGTATAGGCTAGATGGTTCAAGTTTGCCAGGCGGCTGCAGTTGAACGTGTGCCATCTCCCAATGGAGTCTCCACTATACCCCGTGTCGTGCAAGCGCCCCTGTTATTCCGGAGCTCTCGCCGCGGGGAGCCCCGTGTCGTACAAGCGCCCCTGTTATTCCGGAGCTCTCGCCGCGGGGAGCCAGGCCCAAGGTGGGTGGGAAAGCCCTTGTCCGCTGCGGCCCCGACCTCTCACCTGCTCTCCCGAGACAGGCAGGACCAGCGTCCATTCGAAGGCCAGGCCGCTTGGGCGCATGTGTGCTTGGGAGGTGTGTGCAGGCCCCTGCCAGCGGGATTAGCGCAGGGCGGCTGCCGTATTTATTTCAGGGGGAGAGAAGCCCCAGTGAATGAGCCAGTCCTAGGGGTACGCCTACTCGGATTACAGGGAGTGAAAGGCTTTGCCGTTCTGGAAATAGGATCGCCTCCGAGAGAGCCCTGTTGCACAGTCTTACCCAATTGGATGCAAAATCGGGGGCTTATGTGCACTTTCCTGGGGAGAACAATCCAGCAGATACTCGAAGGCTTGGTGACGCCAGAAGGTGAGGGGCCGTTGCTCTAAAGCAGGGCTTCTCAACGTCGGCGCGGCCCGCATGTGATATTTAGCAGCATCCCCGGCCTCTCTCTGTCCAGTAGCTCCCCCAAGTCATGCCACCAAAAATGACCCCAGACATTGCTACATGTCCCCTGCGGGCCGACATTGAGAAGCCCTGCTTTACTGGCTGGACAGAGGGGCAAAGGGAAAAGATAGAGCAACAGAGAGAGGCACAGGGGACAAATAAACAAATCCTCCCGGCAGCCCCCTCCTGAACTGTCTGCTGGCCCAGCCTTCTGCGGCCGTGACCAGGCCGCTGTGTGGAGGTCACCAGTGGCACAGACGTGACCTGCCTTTGCTCCCAGAGGGGCCAGTGTGTGTTATGCTGTGCCATTCCAGGCAGAGTGGGCTGTGAGCCCCACATAGTTGGGGCCCCTCTGTGCTTGCCTTTCCCCCCAAGTCAGGGGTTTTATTTTGGTGACACCCTGTGATGACATGTGGAAGACCAGCTTGGCTGAAGGCACAGTGGGGGCCGGTTCTTAGGGGCATATAATGGTTAGTCTCCTGAGGCTGCCAGAGCAAGTGGCCACAAGCTGGGTTTCTGAAACAACACACGTTTCTTTCTTCCACGTTTGGAGGCCAGGAGTCTGTGACCTGGGTGTCCACAGGGCCCTGCTCCCCCCCTCAGAGGCTCCAGGGGAGGGTCCTTCCTGCCTCTTCCAGCTGCTGGGGCTCCAGGCTCTCCAGCCTCTGCCTCCGCCTTCACACGGCCTGCTGGGTGTATCTGTGTGGTCTCTCTTCTTATTATTAGGTCACCAGCCACTGGAGTTAGGGCCCTGCCTAACCTAGTATGACTATCTTAACCTGATTACATCTGCAAAGACCCTACTTCCAAACAAGGTCCCCTTCAGTCACAGAGACGGGCTGTGAGGACATGGACATCTCCTTTGGGGGGACCCCATTCTCCCCACCACAACAGCTGAGACTGTGCACTGGTGATCTCAGGAGTCAGGGGGCTCACACAGGGCCCCCAGAGGTATCAGCAGTGGGTGAGAGAGACATGGTTCGTGAGTGGGAGACATGGGAGGGCAGCGCGGGGCAGGTGGCCTGGGGGGTGGGGGCCAGCCTTGGCCTCGGGGCCCTGGATGTGCACAGGGACACCCTGTGGTCTTGTCAGAATGCGGGCTCTCACTCAGCAGGACTGAGTTTCTAACCTGTTCGCAGGGCGTGAGGAGCCTGCTGGTCCGGGGCCACTGTGAGGCGTGAGGAGCGTGCAAGCCTTCTTCCCCACATGCCCGCAGAAGCATCCTCAGAGAAAGGCCCCCAACGTTTAAGCCCCCACTGCTTGGCACCCCAGAGGTAGCCCTGAACAGAGCCCCCAACGCTGGCCATTCTGGGCTGAGAGCCCATGGACGGGGAAGGATGGGTGTCTGAGAAACGTGCTGGCAGCTTAAGGGACAATCCTCTGTTCATAACCGCCCCCCCCCATATAGGACAGATAAAGGTTGAGCCTGGCCAAGGCTGTGACCATAGGTCCCCCATTCTCCCCGTCCCCACTGCCCTCACCCAGGCGCTGTGTGCTCAGAGGAACTCAATTTGAAAACTACTTCCTGGGACACCTGGAAGACAGAGACCCACCCTGGGTGTCACGATAGGCTCTGGCGCCTTGATCCAGAGGACGACCCTAAAAGAAGATTTTAGGGTCTAAGGGGGGTCCCGTTAGAGACCCCCTAGGACAGCACGCGTGGTAGAAAATGACAGGAAGAGAAAAGGTTGTGGAGGCGGAGGCCCAGTCTTCCTTCTCAAGGAAAGCCCTCTCTCTCCCCCACCCCCATGCCTTTCTCCCTGTCCCTCCAACAGCAGCGGGCTTGGCGTCCAGGGTTCCCATTAAATGGACAAGAGCACTTTGTGGCCGACAACCGAAACCCATCAGCATTTTTCAAGTCCAACCTCAAAGCCCGCCGGACGTTATTTATGTCCGTGGGTCCCTGCCGAGAAGACCACACACTAAAATCCTGTTTGTGTGCGCTGGGGGTGGCTGAGGCCCACACTGCCCCGAGGCTGAACCTGACCCCGGCTTTGGCAGCATCGTGAAGGCCATGGACACTGGAACCCTATAAAGTCGGTCCGCTTTCATGCTGCTGTCCGGGGCTCGTCCGTGCGCCGCGGCTGGCTGGCGCTTGTTCCCGGGCCCTCCTCCCACCGAGCCGGTGGGGTCCCTCGGCGGCTTCTGCTTCTCATCTTCATTATTGTGGGTGTTTCTTTGGAGAAACAAGCAAGGGGCTGACTGTGGGAGGATGGCTGGTCAAGCTTCGGGGCGCGGGGTGCATCGTGGGCTGGTGGAGACGTGGGTTTGGAGCTCCCCGTGTGGGTTTAGGTCTCCTCGGCCACTTCCTGGCTGAGCAACCTCGGGCAAAGGGCTTCCCCTGGCTGGACCTC